TTTTTCAGGTCTCAGGCTCGAAAATGACATTCCCAGAACAAATGACCATATCTTCCCTTCTAAAAGGGTTAAATTAATAATCTTTTCTCAAAGTAATGATAAACCTGTGAGTTGGATGTAGAAGTGTCAGAATCAATATAAATGTTTTTTATTTTAAAGAAAATTCAGATTTTACATAGTAAAAAACTGTAAATTATAGTGTCCGTCCAAAAATTATTTTTTACAGATAGTGAAAACTACCCTTGGATGATGGGTTAGTAGACTAAAAGCTTTAGGAATCCAAAGTACAACATATAATAAGTACCCTGTATCAAGATTGATGCAAAACAAGTGAAATTTGACCTTTTTAGAGAGATTTAGCCAAAAACTGGGCCATCTGGGGTCATTTGGGTGGATTTGACCTATCTCTGGCCCCCCCTTGCTCGATCTGGTTGGTTGACATACCCTTGTGACCGTTAGAGCCAATAGAATCGAAGGAGGATACTCACATAGACACACATTGTAAAGAAAAAATGTTGCCGCTTCGCGTGTGGAAAGCGAAACTAAACTGGAGGAATGTCTCCTTCTGGAGTTTGGAAACTAAAACGCAGTTGTATTGCTTATGGATTATCAGAAATAATTTCAAAGAAGGCACAGACACATAGGATGAACCTATGGATTAACTGCAGCATCGTTTTTTTTATCGTTTTAATGCCATTGAAGACCACTTTTGACCAAGGTGAGCCATATTTACATGTTTAGCTTCTTGGCTCCACATGTGATGATGTACGCTTTCGTTGATAGCGTCGCGAATGTTTATCACTGAGTGTTGAGGTGGGCACCGTTAGATTCAGTGTCTCCAGGACACCAAAAAATAGTGTTTGGTTGTGCATCTAGGATAAGTAATAAGGGAGTTCTGAGTGAGTTTATGTGCCTTTGTCGGTCCCGTTTTTTCGATCGAGGCTAATTCAGAGGCTGAGTGCTAGCATTGTGGGGTTTTTTTGAAAAAAAAAATTAAAAAGATCAGTTAGCTGAGTTTCTTCCCGTTACATGGATATAACACATTCATAGTTTTATTCAATATTAAGATTCCTTAGACGTTGTTTCCTGCAAATGACGCGTTTATCCGCCCGGTACCGGGGGGAAGGCGTGAAACAGGTTAAAAAGTACAACCTCGATCCAGAGGTTTTAGCCAATTATAGACCTATTTCTAATCTTCTGTTCCTCTCAAAGATTCTTGAAAAAGCAGTTGCAAAACAGTTGTGTGATTACTTAAAAAACAATGATTTATTTGAAGATGTTCAGTCTGGCTTTAGAACACATCATAGCACAGGACTTGTCTCTATTCTTGTCTTGCTCGATCTCAGTGCTGCATTTGATACTATCCACCATGATATCCTATTGCAAAGACTAGAGCACTTAGTTGGCATACAGGGAACTGCTTTAGGCTGGTTTAGGTCCTATCTATCTGAACGGTCCAGTTTGTGTGTGTCAACGATGAATCTTCCATGCAAACCAAAGTGAGCCATGGAGTGCCACAGGGCTCAGTGCTTGGACCTATTTTGTTCACATTATATATGCTTCCGTTAGGCAATATTATAAGGAATCATTCTGTACATTTTCATTGTTATGCGGATGATACTCAACTATATTTATCCATCAAGTCTGATGAATCCAATCATCGAAATAAAATTCAAGACTGCCTCAAGGACTTAAAAACGTGGATTACCTTACATTGCTTTATGTTAAACACGGCCAAAACTGAAGTTATTGTACTCGGCCCAAAGAATCTACGAAACAAACTATCTAAAGATATATTAACTACGGATGGCATTCATTTGGCCTCCAGTGAGACTGTAAGGAATCTTGGTGTTATATTTGATCAGGATTTATCTTTTAACGCCCACATAAAATCAATCTCAAGGACCGCCTTCTTTCATCTACGTAACATTGCAAAGATCAGGCATATCTTGCCTCAAAACGATGCAGAAAAACTAGTCCATGCATTTGTTACTTCAAGGCTGGATTATTGTAACTCTTTATTATCAGGGTGTACCAAAAAGTCAGTTAAGTCGCTTCAGCTAATTCAAAATGCTGCAGCACGTGGACTAACTAGAGTTAGGAAAAGGGACCACATTACTCCTGTTCTGGCTGCCTTACACTGGCTCCCTATAGAACACAGGATAGAATTTAAAATTATTCTTCTCGCCTTATCTTAAAGAACTCATTATACCCTACTGTCCAACTAGGGCATTGCGTTCCAAGAATGCATGGTTGTTGGTTGTTCCTAGAGTCTCTAAAAGTACCTATGCTGCAAAAAAAAACTTTTTAGGAGCAATGCGCTCATGGTATAGATGTGGCGCATACATCTTAGTTCCTACTCTTTTCCCTCAATCTATCCTAAGGGAGTGCATGTACGTAGACACGTTAGTTTTGCTGCTATAGGCTTAGACTGTCGGGGGACACCTTACTTCTTCCTTCTGTCTGTCTGTACCTGTGTACTCTCATGTTCCGAATAACCCAGCTTCCCCCAAATTTCTTTTTGGTGTCTATCTACGCCGGGATCCTGAGTCGTGGCTGATCCTGTTGCTGCGGTCCTGTGTCCTGGGTCCTGAATCATGTGTCCTGGATCCTGCATCCTGAGTCCTGGATCCTCTATCCTGAGTTCTGGATTTGAGACCTGGACTTCGAGTCATGGCTGAACCTATCTCTGCGGTCCTGCCTGACTTTCATCATATTACTTCCCTGATGGCTCCCACAGGATTGTTGACATCCTCGTGGATTCATCTTCTTATTATAGACACATGCATTTCCAAACATTTGGTCTACCTACGCTGTAAAATGTATTATCTCTTCAATTTACACACGGCATCTATTGCACGTCTGTCCGTCCTGGGAGAGGGATCCCTCCTCTGTTGCTCTCCCCGAGGTTTCTCCCATTTTCCTCTTTAAACTGTGGGTTTTCTCTGGAGGTTTTTCCTTGTACGATGTGAGGGTCTAAGGACAGAGGGTGTCGTATTGTCATACTGATATTCTGTACAAACTGTGAAGTCCACTGAGACAAATGTAACATGTGTGATATTGGGCTATATAAATAAACATTGATTGATTGATTGATTGATTGATATTTCTGTTCCTCCGCGGCCCTAAATGAGACGCTTGTGCTCACACATTTGTCCGGTTCAGACGGGAAATGTGTCCTATCTTTTACAATTTTCTTTTTAGGCAACGTCAACATTTATTTAAAGTAGGCAACACTTTGACTTCCCCAACTGCATTCAGTAGGCAGGTAATCTGTTCTGAGGGTAGAGACCTGTCATTCCGCTGCTCCTCACCCCATTCCTTTTTTTTTTAACTCTCTCCCACCACGTTGTTGCAGCAGCAGCAGCTACTTGGTAATAAGTGGCATTAATTTCACCCATAACAAAATAGAGGGCTCATTTTCAGCCCATTACTCCAGTGCTCTCACAGAAACAAACCCTTTGTGCTTGCTCCATTACGGTGGGTTGTAAAGAAAAGCGACGACACGACAACAGGGTTGGAAAGGTGGAGTATGTGAGAGTGTGTGAACAAGGTTTCAAGGTTTGCGAGAAGTGGAAGATGTGTGTTTTTAGTTCATCTTTTTATATAAGCCTTGGGAACAAGATCTTTCCTCTTTTTAACAGTCTTGCTATAAAGTTAAACTATATTGAGCCATAACGTTTGTGGGAGTTTTCACATCACATATCCAATTATTATTAAAATAAATGAACTGTTCAGAATCTACTCTTCATACAAAATACTGCTCTCTGTCGGGTAATGAGCTGCATCTGGCACAGCAGAGCAGGTGTGGCAGGTTTTTGTCAGGTTGAACAAAAAGCAGCAAGAAGCAGACTAAAGTAGCTCAATTGCACCGTACATGTAGAAATAATTGCAGAGAGAATGAGAGACTGATTGCAGTATTAACTTTATTAATACTAATTACACTAGTTGGTATATGAAAATGATTCTTAAGATTAAAGCATATGGTTTATTTACAAAATAAACAAAATGTTGTACACATTCAATATGTGCCTTAATGCTTCAAGAATACATTTTTTATATCATTTTTAACTGAAAACAGTTAGCCTTGTTTTGTCCATGGTCGTCTGCATCGCTTTAAATGAAGCAAGACTTCCAATATTTTGTTTTTTTGTAAGAGAGAAAGAGCAGGTGTCGAATCTACAATCAGAGATAGACAGAGCTTCCTTCTTGCAATGTTAACAACGGATTTTTGTGACATTTAGACAAAGCTAGGCTAGCTTTTTCCATCTGAGCTGCTGGCAGGTTTATAAAGTATTAGACATGAAGGCAGCGTCAATCTTCTCATCTACGTCCTGGAGAGTGGATAAGTGTTTGACCGAAAATGATGGAATGTCAATTCCTTTCGTTCAAAACAATTACAAAAAAACAGAGTTTGGTTATATTGTCAAGTAGAGTATGATAACCGGATTAGTTGTCTTCACTATTATTGCCGACATTGCATTTAGTAAAACAAGTGAATCACATGTAGAAATGTGTGTTTGTCCAACACATTTAAGGAAACACAGTATCGAGGGTCTATAATAAACTGCTAGCGTTTATTTCTCCGATAATGTACGTTCCACAGAAGATCTTTCTGAATAATTTTTACCAGAGTTCTCCTTCTCTCTGAAACAAACAAATCCAGTAAGTAAAACCAGTGAAAACACAAAAATAAAGCACTTTCACGATAGAAATGTATTATTTTCTTAAGCAATGTGGCGCAGATGGACTGGTTATGAGCTAACCGCTAACTTTTGCTCATTTTCTTTTTCTAATAACTTTGATGATTTCAATCCATCATTGGTTTAAGGAGGCCTCCACAAAGGTAATACCTTGATTAACATAATGGCTTCGCCTTGATTTGATAATAGCTGGAATAATTTAGGATAATGCAAGCTCACAACTCAACAACATATAAGGCACAGTTTTAGTGCAGGGATGATAGGGTACAGAGTTAAATCCACTGAGAGGAGACTCACCTGAAATCCCCCTTGTTGTTGGTGACTCTGTCTGTTGGGCAGTACGGTGCCGACGTCTCCAGAACCACTATCTCCATTTGCTGAGAGGAGTTGCCACGGGAACTGGTGACCAGGCACTCCCAGGTGCCACCTATGCCCAGCTCAATGTTGGAGAGGATGACCTCACTGGAAGAAAAGAACAGAGGCGTCAAACTGAGGGTGTGGATTAGTGTCAATGTGGTGTGTGCACTGTTGACTATCATTAAATGTATTATGTAAAACACATTTAAAGGGGACCTATCATGCAAAATGCACTTTTTTATGTCTTTTATACATAAATATGTGTCCCCGGTGTGCCAGGGAAATCACAAAGTGTCAGAAAACAAAACCCTCTCTCTTTTCCTCCATACCCAAATCTCTAAAAACGGGGGTACAACGGAGCTGATCCAGATTTGCGTCCGATATGACGTAATATCGGAAATGTGGACCCACGGCACTATCAGAAAGTTGCTATCAGAAACAATGCCCGACTATTTTGGACGTAATATGGTCTTTGTTTGCATTAGCAAGCATCGCTAACACTCAGAGCTAACCTGCACTTGAGAGAGCATGTGTAAAAAAGCAGGAAATAAAAAAAGGAACTCACCTTGTAGTAAACCCGCAAGAAAAGAAGCATTTGAGCTCCATACTGTTTCAGAAATAATCCTTGATGTGGTTTGGAACATGATATGGTGTTTAATCACGGCAGCATTTAGCTGTATCTCGTAGAATTCTGAGGAGGCATTAGCTCCCCTTCCTCTTTTCTTTTTTTTTCAAGCTAAGGACCCAACATCAGCGTTTCTCTAACAGGGCTGAAATAGAGGGATATGAGGGATGTCTAAAATACATGATCTGTTTGGTATTTTGAGCAAAACACATTATAGCATTTTTTTTTAAATATATTTATATCTGAGACCCATAATATATGCCTAAAAATAGCATAATAGGAGACCTTTAACATACTTGTATTAGGTTAGTTGAAAGCGATAATATTACGTTTGAATACAAAAATTAGCTTCAACTTAATATTATTGCTTCAACCAACCTAAAGGTTAGGAAAAGGTGCTGGGTCAGGATTTGTGTTCAGGGTTGAAGATATATTGAGGACTGTCTTTGGGTTAGAACCTGAATAAAGAATGGTATGGATTATTTTTGGATAAGGACTAAAGTTAGGCGTACGTTGGAGTTAGTTAAGTCAGCGGAAGCTCCTCATCAGGATGGGACCACAGATATGTGTGTTCTTCAAATTAATCAAATGTATTCAGAGAGCCTTGTGGATGTACGAGTATGCAGTGGCTTAAAATGTTGGCCGTGACTTAAGATGATCATTACTCAGGCTTATCTTTCCTACTTTGTCACAGCGATGCATATCTCAATGGAAAATGCTAGATTAAACAAAGGATGGGGAAACAGTGACAAAGAGCCAATGCAGGCCATTTGCCAAGGCGACTAATCTTGAGGATTTTACTCCTTATGAAAGAAAAAGGATAAAAGCTGCAGAGATTGCTAAGCAACGGGCATTATCACCATGGTAATACGGCCTCCCAAATACGATCCAGTTGTAGTCAAATATACACATTTCCTTGTGTGCACTTAACGAGCTAATGCCTAATGCTCATAATATGAGTCACAGTATAGCCACATAATACAGTATGAAGTTTTATAATAGGACTTAGGGAACAATGCCCCACAAACGGAAAGTATGACAGTTGACATAACAAATTCCAAGTGACAGGCTGAACAGGAAGCTGTAATCGTTCAGACGAAAGATGATTAGTGGCTGAGCGACTCTGATGTGGAGGAGCTCTAATCCCAGAAAACGGTTCTCAGAGGATGTGAGAGACAAATTATTCCGAAACATTAAATGTCTTTATTTTGTTTCTGCTCTCTCTCGTAGCATTGAGAAAAAAAGACAGTATTTCCAACTTGAGGCCTTTTTATTAGGGCTAATTCTATAAGAATAGCATAAGATGCTTTGGATCCATCTTTCAAAGGGAATGCAACCAAGGAGAGTCTTGAATCTTAATTCCGTCCCCTGCTGAGAACCAGTTTCTAAGACCCGTTGGAAACACATTGCTCTGTGACTTTGAAATTCTCTTAATGATGCTTTCCAACATTTACACATGCGCAATGATGTAAGGCCAAATACAAATGGTGTTTCAGTTGTTCTGGGATCAGGCACATGGCGACAAAAACATACTCAAAAGCTTGGTTGGATAACAGATCTGTATCTGTATCAAAAATAAGATTAAATTCCTATTACTACCACAACAAAAAGGTGGTCAGAAAAGGATCAGTGACGTGGCTGTAGAAATTGGAGGAGAAGCTTGTTTTTGACCATGTCTTACAAACGGAAACTTTAATAACAAAGACCAAAAAACACATTTGTCTGAACAGTTCAGGTGGATCATGGATGTTGAGTTAGTGCTGGACTTTTAGTCCAGCACTAACTCAACATCCATGATCCATGATTTCCATATGTGGATCGTCCTCGGCGCTTTACGGCTGTCTGACTGAAGGGTGAACCTAATTCATACATAAGTGTTAAAGCAAGCATCTTCCGGTGAGTTTTCATGGTGAATAAACAATGTAAACCAATTTATAGTGGCTCAAAAAACGATGATTTCAACATGTCGTCATAGAAACAATAAAAAAACTATTTGAGTGAAGATCCATTGTCAACTGTAGACACAGACCTTATTTCGGGTATTTGACCAAAAACATGTGAAAAAAAAGTAAAGACGAGGGAACTGTAAGCGGTAAAATGAAACTATATTACATACATTTTAAGACTCATGACTGCACCACTCCATATCACCTGAGAACTTATTTTATTCTGGGCAGCTGTGTCTCAGGCGGTAAATGGGTGTCTACCAATTAGAGGATCAGTGGTTTGATCCATACCCTGGTGCGTTAATATATCCTTGGTCATGATAATTAACCCCAAATTGCAAGTTTATGCAAGTAGTCTTGGATAAAAGTATCAGCTAAATGACATGTAATGTAATGTAACGTATCAACTGTAAAAAAGAGTCCTTGCTTCCACTATCATTGATTTTTCTCTTTAGGGCTTTTAACCATCAGTCCTAAATAGTGCATTTACACCGAGGCCTTTGCTCTTCATCTGCCAGAGCCATAACCTGACCTTTGCTGTCCATGTTGTAGAAGATTGACAAAACTCCACTGTAGGGTCTCATTACCTTGATCTACGTTTAGTGCATTTGGGCCAATTCACAAAAGATTTTCATAGCTTTTGTGACATCTAAACCTGCACATATCACAACAAAAATGTTTTTAGTCTCAAACCTAAGGGCGAATTGCATCCATTACTGCCAAACATAAGTCACTGAGTGGTCATGTTTTATTTGTACCTATAAAATAGGTGACATGCATACAGAAACTTTAGTCTTTATGTATTCTTGGATGTGTTACTCTTTGGATTATGGTAATAATTAATGTGTTTTAAGTGTTGAATACTTGACACTAATGCCTTCACGTGAAAGAAAGCCGCCGTGAAGTCTGCCAGTCAAGTCAAGTTGAATCTAATAGAGAGCTAACCTGTGTGTATAAACAAAATAAATCGGAATGAAATCACTGTGTGTTTAGGTGAGAGCGTGTCTCCACTGCCGTTTGTTTTGTAAGAGAAGACAAACGGAAATCCGACAACGCTGTTGACATTCCCCGCTCCAGAGCGGACCCGTGACTTTGCTCCAAGGACTTCCAGTGGGCGAGTTATGAAAATGAATAAAATAAATCCTGATTTCATCTTCTGTGTTCCACTAAAGCTCTCTTTTCTGATTGCTTTTCTAAAAGGCCCTAAATCAGATTTGAACGCTTGACTGAAATGATGACATTCCCGGCTAGAGAACTCTGTGTGTGCATGTATGTTTGTGCATGTGTGTCTGTGTGAATACATTTGAGGGCTTTGGCATATGTGCAAGTATGTTTTCAGTTGTCAAAAAAGTCAACACTTTTGAGCATGTCTAATTAGTTTGGGAGGACTTTTGCACCAATCATGTAAAAGCTTGGAGCTTTCTGAAGACGGTTTCATCAAACTTTTGACACACGATAAAGATCTTACCGTAGGAATGAATTAGTCTCCAACTGTGATGATTTCCCTAAGTCTTACTTCTCTTTCATTATTCTACCTTTCAATCACTTTCTCTTTCTTCGGTCTTTCTACAACTCTCTGCTTAAAACTATATGCCACAGTATGCCAGTTGAGTTTAAAGTGTGAATGGACTTTAAAAATAAACCCTCTTGGCTCAGTCTAGCAATATGCCTGTATGTGCAGAACAACAATTATATATCAAGCCACATTAGGACATGTGCTGTCTGAAAACCTAATTTAAACATCTACTGCAGATTACACACTGTAAGGTAAAAGACAAGAGCACCTTTTGTTCACCATACTATTTGCACAGGACTGGTTTTACAAAGAGATGCTTCACAAAGGAATGTCGAGCCCAATAAAGTAGAAATGTTCAGTGCTGCTTGGTGAATGTTCTTATAGTTTTCTGGGTCTAGAAATATTGTGAGTGTTGCTGAGACTTAAGCTGGACATGATTTTAGAGGTTAATAACCTCCATCTCCATCTCCACAGGATTGACACTGAACAGTTCAGCCATCTTCTCTGAAATCTCTGTTGGTTTGGTTTCCCCTGCTTACTTTTAATAATTATGAATAAAACCTTTGGCTCGTAATTTCATTCCCCCATTGTAGCGACAAGAGAGAGGTGAGGGAAATACATCCAGTCTAAGACGCGAGGCGAGGACTCGAGGAGGTGCAAACTGAGGAATGAGAAAGGGCTTATGTGTCAGATTTAATTGAAGTGGGAAAAGGTGCATTTATTGTCGTCAGATTCTTTGAACACAGTCTGTGAACTGTACTGAAAAGCTGCCCTATCGACGTGTTGGAGTCCCCTGGTTTAAGGAATCACGTGTACTACTGACGATTTCATTTAGTCCTCAAAAATCATAAAAGTACTATTGTGCTTGCCCCAGACCTTATTTTCTACAATATTCCACTATATCCCATTGCTTTTTGTGGATGCAGCCCTTGTGATGCTAACTTCTGGGTTACAAATATAGTCATCACACCCCACCGCCCACCTCTGGTACTCCCGCCTCCCAGTCTCCCAGCACCTG